ACGTTACCCCAACACTCTCAGAATGGGTCGTGGACGTTGCTTTCGAAACGATAGTGGGCGCAATTTATAGTATATAGTATCAAAAAAAACCCTGATAGGTTTCTTCCTAATGAGCCTTCGTTTTCGAGATTTATTTCAAGTTTGGTATGTGCAAAGCAAAAGAATTATTTAAATTTACTTCACATGGGAGTATATGGTTGAGTTGGTGGAGTAATTGACTACGAAGCTTTTTGGTTTGTGGGTTCGAATCCTCGCCAAGTTACTTTTTTTTATTATTATTTTGAAATGAAAAAATATATTTGATTTATTGTGTATGTATGATATAAATTTAAAAATAAAAAAACAGTAGTTCATATGCACCGATTTGGACGTATTGAAACACCTACGTTCCGGCTTAATAGTGGTTCAAATTGCGTGCATTTTTAACGAACGACATAAGCTGGTATTACAAACGACGAGCGCGGTGGGAGTATTTATTGACCCCAAGTTAGAGATTGCCCTGACCCAGCGTTGTGAAGATCGGCGGATATGACTAAACTAGTTAAAATGTACAGCAAACAGTCTACATTTTATGCTTTTAAAGAGGCGAATATATTTTACATAAATTGTTTCTATTAATATTTCGTAGAGGAAGTCAAATACATCTTCATTTTGTACAAAATTCAAATGTTATTTTTCACCATATTTTCTGCAAAGCTATTCAAGTTTGTTATTCTAATACGTTCCAAAAATAAAGAATAGAGACGAATGGCGCGTGGGAATAATTGTTACACCATTGGTACGATATCCGTCGAGTCTTCTAGCGACTTAGGGCTAATAGAGGTTTGGTCAGCCGACGCTACCCTCGACCATAACATATGCATCAAGGAGGATGAAAGCTCGAGTCATTAGTACCACTAACGCAGATTGTTTCGGTGTACTTGTTACGCACCGTGGTAATTTACCACGTAATTACCGGCGCGTCGGCTCGTTTCGCGAACTACCTGCTTCGTTAAGTATCTCCGTCGTGACCCCCAACGGATTATACACTGGTTATTACCGAATAGAAATTCAACGCGTCGATCTGGAAACGCTGATTGATTCAATAACGCGCCTGCTCCGTCCGGAGCGCATCCCATCGTACGTACCCTGGGCGTCGCGGTTCTTCGAACCATATTTTCGAACAAATTGGTCACGATCACGTGAACGCTTAAACGAGAGAATAACACGTCAGTTCAGTGGTTCGTTTCACCGCGAGGCGAAAACGCCTTGCGAACCGGAGGGGAAGGAGGAACGAGGCAGGTTCGACCAGACGTCTGGTGGTTGCCGCGGGGTTGTAATGACCCGCAAAGCCTGTAATTTCTGTCTTGGTCGAGTTAACATTCGACTGCCAGAGGAGGGCAACTCGCCACCCAGGCCTCGCGGTTAAGGATCTCGGCGTGACTCATTCGAGGCAATTTAACAGCTTGACGCGATCATTTTCTGCTCGTATTCCAACCTAGACCGATATCCCCGGAACGATAAGGAAACTCCATGTGTCGCGTGATCCCGTTAACTACCCGCGATGGGGGACTCGGAACACTTCGAATCGATTCGAATCTGCGAAACGACGGAAAATTCGAACCCCTTCGGGATCTGATTCCGAAGCCTTTCAATGCCTCGAACCTGTTGGAAGTCTTGAAAACGGGGATCGAAAACAGTTACGATATCGGTTTCTGTTATTTTATATACATACAAATTTTAAATTCATTCTCAATTAAATAAATAATTTATGATCCAGTATTATCGCGTACCAGTCGTATAATCAATAGGAATAGTTGAAACTTCTTTGGGTATGTAGCGTCAAAGTAAATGTGAAAATAAACATAGAAGTCGGCATAAATTATAATAGTTATTATATGCATTGATTAGGGGATGAAATGCCCTTTAAAATGAGTGGTCGAACAAGTCGATAGCTCAATTAGTTTCGGAGATATTGCGATTTTAGTTTCAAGTCGACGCGGTGGCTAGTTCCGGAGATATAAGGGTTAAAAGCGTTTGTTTACGTCGCGAGGTCAATGAACTTCCACTACGGCCTTGTCAAGGTCGTTGACCACACGTGCAGAGAATTAGAAAAATTACCCATTACATAAATTACGATATCTCGAAAATGAGAAGTCGGATCGCCAAAAACCAAAAACCATTTCAAAGGGGAAGCTTTGCCGCTTCTAACAGTGGCTCAATTATGGGCATAACACTAGTATCTTCGGAGCTACACGCGTGTAAAGTTTAACTATTTTCAGCCCTCGTTGTTAGACTCTCTAAGTCGGTGGAAACTGAAGAAGAACAATATCGATGCCCTACCGTGATAGACTACATATGTTTCTCAGTAAACGAACAATAGGAATAGAAGCGAATATTGAAAAATTCTAATATGAAATTTAAAAAAATGATCGTTTGACATGTCGTGGGTAAGTTCAGTGTTAAACCAAGGGCCTGAAGCGAGGTAGCGCGCGAACGTTGATCCATCCGATGATCATTTAGATTAATTTCGGTTCACCGCAAGACGCCGGCGTTGGTATTCCTTTTCATCTTTCATTCCATCGGTGCGACGACGCTACGCAGCCCCGGTGTCCCTCCGGACAGTGCTGTTGCTGATGCCTTTTCAAGCGTCAGTCTTTTCTCACGCATACTCGTACGCACACGCACGTGCTTCGGTACTCTTGCCTGTTACTTCGTCTTTCCACCTACTACGGTTCCTCCTCTTCTTCTCTCTCGTCCCCTCGTTTTCATCCTCCTTCTCCCGGTCGGTTCTCGTTCTCTTCTCAGCGGCGTACGAGCCTTCTTCCGCGTTCCTCCAACCTGCCAATCGTGCGCCTTCGACGAATACATCCAGCCGTAATGGACTACCGATCGGCGCACGGCCATCTTATTCTTCCTACGGCCAACCGGAATTGTAATCCTAGAACCTCTTTTTTTTTTTTGCGAGAGGTTACGGGCGTCGATGCGCGTCGAGTATGGTTGTCGATAGGTAGTCGTCGGACGTTTATGTCCAGTTACTGTTAGTTATCTGCTCGCATAGGAGGATGTTGTTCTTCTGTTTATGGCGTGCAGCGTTCGCCGTCGTTGACATTTAAAGCAGGCTTACACAGGTTGCTCGTTGGGTCTCACGATTCCGGTTATTGAACTCCCTGGACCATAGACGGAGAATTTTTGGAACAATGACATCATTCACTATTCTTTTTTTTTTCGTTCTATCGCAACGCTGCGTTGTATCCACTTTATCGCTTCGAAACTCGAGGGAACCGCGTGAACGAGCCACCGTGTCACGATCAGGCCCGAGATAAATATTTCTCTTTAATCAGAGCCAATTAACGAGCTTGGTAGCATTATTTATTAATTTCCATTATTTTATCCGAAAGACAGAACAACGTGTCTCCCGGTTAATTTGAATAATGGTATTTCTGCTGTATTTATATTAAACACTTGAACCGTATACGATGAATACTCGTCAAAGTAATATTACTCTTACTCTTGACAGTCGTTTTCAGTCCCCGCCTCGAACCCCGCTATTTTTCTTCTTATTTTAACGTCAGACACGCACGTCGGTCCCGCACGACCACGCGAAGAGACTGGATGGATGGATGGAGGAATAATTTTGCAACGAGGGAGACGCCCGACCGGCGCATTAATTTATGTGCATTGCGTGACGGATATCCCAGAACCGCTGGTCATCGACTAACTCGTCTGTCTTTCGAACACGGCTACGCGCGAAGAAGAACATTTAATTATTCGTTCCCGCCATATTTTCGTACGCGATCCATCGACGGTGCTCGTGCACGGTTTCGTAATAATGTCGTAAACTAATCCAAGAAGGAGCTCCTGTTATTTTCCCTCGTCCATCATCGATAGCGGGGAACGAGATTATCGAAACTCGTCTCTCGATTCGTTAAAGGACGCGTCGATATTATATTAAATAATATACGACGGCTCGTCGCGGGGACGGTTGAAGCAATAACAGGAAAATTGCAGGTTGTTCGTCGCGCGTTCGAAGTGTAAATATCATGTCCCATTTAGTCCCGTGGACGTAATGGCGATAGTTAGATTTGTGTCTACCTGTATTCCAGTTTCACGGGCGTCAAGTGAATCGTTTGCCTCGGCGAATCTCTCCTCTTTTTTTTTTTTTCTTCGTCGAACTTGGAAATTAACGTGCCAGTGAAACATGCCGACGCTGTTAATGGAATGGAACGCACGTTTCGCGGCATTATGCACGAAGCGTCGCCATAGGAAAAAGAGTAGAACGACGAGGGAATAATTAGCGAAGACTGCCTCCTCTGTGTACTGAGTAATTAAGAGGAAAAGGTGATTTATCGTTCGTCTTGCCATTAAAGCGATAAGCGGAGGTGGTTTCGGAACGGTTCGAGACATCGCGCCACCCTCGGTGGTTGGCGTCCACTCTAGTGGCGATGTTTGTCCATTCCACGCTCGTAAAATTTAAAGTACGTCTCGTTGAGCGTACTCGTCGCTTTTACGAGTCAATGATATTTCCTTTTTCTTCCCATTTCCTTCGGACGTTCTGGTTTACGATCGGTCGGGATGGCTACGGAGACTAGTTTCTGCCCTCTCTTGTACGCTCAAAGAGGCGCAAGCTGACGAGGTCATAGTTAGATTGTTTCTCCTTTTGGATCGCGTGTGTGTGGCTTGCCAGCCGTGATGGATCGTTTCCTAAGCTGACGCCGGATCTCTCGATCCTGTCGTCCTATTCATCTCTATGGGGGCCAGAGAGTCTGCAAACACATTCTATTTGTCCAGAGGAGAGCGTGGTGTTGCCTCTCTGGCGGTGGAGGAAGCGAGGGAGATCGTAGAAAGGCAGTAAAGGCTTCTTAGCAGGCCTTGCCTTGGGTAGTTGGTCGAGCGGTTGCGAGAGAGACGAAAGCGTGGCCCTCTGGTGGCCAGTACAGAAAGAATATATAAAAAATCCTACCCTTCCATAAGTTTACAGTTTTCTCGACGTAAAATTAGCGCAATTCTTTTCGTTTCAGGTTACTGAACAGCGCGTTGGTGTTGCTGTTCGGCGCTGTCGTTACGATCGCTAAGGAGGACGCGATGTCCAACTACGAAACGGTTCACACGAGCAACGCGGCCATCTTGAATCGCCTCGGTTTGTCGCCGCTTCAGATACCGGACGGTCATCACAAGAAACGTTTGGCCGGCCCGGAGCCGCCGGGTTTGAATTCCCAGACGCGGATCCATCAGCCCTACAGCCGTCGCCACGGGCACCGGGACAGTCACGTTTACATAGTGAAGCTTCCGGCGAGTCCGCCGTATTACACGATCACGAAACCGCACAAGTCCGTGAAAGACGAGAAACTGACCAAGAGCGAGTCGAACTTTCCCATGGGATTCCAGGGGAACGGTAAACCGGCGAAGATCTATCATTGGAACCTGCCAGTGGTGAAGAAGATCACCGAGAAGAAGAGGCTGCAGACGCAGATGAAGCTGGACCTGGCCAAGAAGAAGCTCGAGGACGCGAAGAAGTACCAAGGCACGCTGCTGAAGAACTTCGAGGAGGATCGTCCGGAGAATTTGAAGATCGCCCACGAGCCTCAGGAGAAGAAATATTACAGCGCGAAAAATAACAAGATCCTCTTGCGTCAGAAGACCAGCGCCGGTAAACACGTGAGGAACAACGACAAGAGGCTGAGCTATCCCGATCACGAGGAGAAGAAGACCGAATCGAAGAAGAATAACAGCAACGGGAACAAAACGTACAGGCTGAACGATTCCGGTATGCACAGGATCCACCTTACGAACGAGCTTCACGGCTCGAGGAACGCGGCAAAGGTGAAGAAACACCGGAAGAAGGCAGCTATGTCGTACTACGCGCCGATCGCCAGCAAGTCCGGTTCCACGAGCATCCACAAGAACTTCCCCGGAAACGGCAAGCCCAAGGCGTTCTACGTAATGGAGAAGAGTCGCAAACCTGTCTACTATCACCCTTTATTACCTTAATCCTCGTGCCCGTGCTCGCATGTGTGTAATCACGTTACGTGTTAACGGCCCGTGAGCTTGTTAGCCTAAGTAGTCGCGCAATCACCACGGTTAGACAAGAACAGGGGCCGTCGTTCCGTAAGACGACAATGGAATTTTCAAGAACCACAGAACATGAGAGATCGAGAGAGGGAGAGAGAAAGACAGAGACTATGATCTTTCGATAAAAAAAAAATCGTCCTTACTCGAAGTTACGTGTATCCTGCAAAGCCGTTCCACTTTCGTTACAGTTGTTAGGAGGTTAGTTTAGGTTGTCGGAACTTTCCACGGAAAGGGCGAACTTAAATTAGGATAATTTAAGGGTGTTCCGCGACGCCTGGGGCCCCGAGTTCTCGCGCGACACTCGGCTAGAACCGCGAATGGAAACGATCTATCGGCGGCGTTGTTAACGTCTCGCCCCGATCCTCGTTTCCCGTTGCCACGATTTAACTTGTACAATATATTTTTATAAGTTCAACAGATACTTTTTCTATCGACACGGCGTCAGCGTCGTTTCGCTATGTGCTTCGGGCGACTACTCTGGGGAGACGTGAGTTGGCGCCGGTCGACGGCGGAGGAGTAATGCTCTCTGTGTCCTCTGGAAGCGATCGTTCGCGAGCCAATTCTTAAGAAAGACTGGACAACGCACGGTGTCTTGGGAACAGATCGTCTCAACGCTAAAACCTTTGCTGTTTTAAATAATCGAAGGATTTCTTCTTCCCTTTTCTGAATCTTTATTTCAAATAAACAAAAATATTCGATACTTTGCTTTTAGTACTTAAAGACTAAGCTACTTGCTTCAAATTCGATGCTAAAATTTACTTGGTCTGATCAGTTGCGGTGTAATCTCCTTCCTGCAAACCCAGGAAGGAGATTTATACTTTTAATAATGGCCAGACTAACTAGTTCGCTTCTGATTCTAATAAATGTTTTTATATGAAAAGAATTGTTGTTGAAAGATTAAAGCAGTGCTCGAAATGAATAAAATATTTACTTGCATCGCTGTGAGGCATTGTATACGCTTTCAATTTAGTTTTTACTTTATACTAGACGCTGCTCAGTGTCTTTTACGGATAAAGTACACGTTCAGGAGGACCTAAAATATCGTAAATTCACAGAATAATAGACCTTTGAATATTATATTAAACGAAACGACTAGTTTTTGAGTAGCAGAATTTTAAGAATGAACTTTTCAATAAAAGCTACTTTACGGAATGAATCTAACATTTATTTATTCGTAATTCGCTAAAAAAAAACTAACGAGGGATACCTGCGTATTCTTTCGACCATTTAAACCAGCGAAAACATTAAAACGATCTGTTTCCAGTAAAGCACTTTGTATACTTCACGACAGGATGTACTATGCCTTTTCTACGTATTGCCGCGCAAGGATTTTTACTGGGTTTTTTATGACTAAATTGCAGAGCGCGAAAGCAACAAACATTTTTTATATTCTTATATATAAATAAATATATATATATACATATATATATACATGTTATAGGAAGAAGCTCAATTGTATCGAACCATGGCATTCAGTGTAGCGAATAAAAGTATTTATAGTACTTTGTATATGTATATATTACCTGCTGCGTGTCGCCAATGAAATTAACGAGATCGTTTTGTTCCTTCAATTCTATTAGCAAAAAAAAATTAAGGAATATTCCTTTTTTTTTAATAATTTTGGTGCACACTATAATCACAATCATACTAATCGAGAATCCTTTTGATTTTTTCATTTCAGATGAGCAGAATGATTGGAATCGTGTCAGCCAGTAGGACCTTTTAAAGGAACCTTGTTCAATGACAATTCAGTCAATTTTGATTATTTTCGTTTAAAAAAAATTGCGAACATAGGTAACGCATATATAAATATGCATGCAAAATTTCGAAATTAAGAAGCTTATACTTTCCTTGTAAAAAAAGACCAAACTCTAGACTAGAGTACTCCCTTTGAAGTAAATAGTTTGATTTATGTGTTTACTGTTTTCCTATCTTTTTGAAACGTTCGTGCTTTGAAACAGCCTTGTTTGTTTTAAATTGAATTCGAAGGGACTAGTTTCCCCGTGGTTGTAGAAATAATTTCGCCCATTCGTGGAGTTTCCTCTGCTACGGCCACCGAGAGATTTGTTTGCGTATTCAATTTGATCTTCGCGGCGGAGGATCAAACATTTATTCGACAGGGTGCTGAGAGCTTGAATCGAAATTTCACTTTAAGTCGGTTTCCTGGAGACGACGGGTACGGTATTATCGTGATCTTTGAATTGAATCTCTTTGAGTAAGTAGCATAGATCGCCCCGGAGTGCGCCCGCGACCAGACAGGATATAATCCCGAGCAGACTCGCGTCCCAAGTCAATATTTGTGTTACGCGAGAGGGGGAAACATATGAAACACGTCTTCTTATCGACGTAGCCGGGCTAGGAACGGCAAGGATTCGAGAAAAGTACGATGGTTTCGCTCTCGCGGGGGGTGGAAAGAAAGAAGGTGAGGGGTCGATTCGATATTTTTTTTTTTTTCTCTCTGTATCTATCACATATTTACAAGATATAAAGCAGTAAATTCTCAACGGTCGTCTCGTCGACGAGGAAACAATATACAAACGTATGACTTCGATTTCTAAATAAATATATGATTACGTGCAAGACGTTGTAATAATACTACCCGTTTCGCAATCGTGGTTCTCTCCAGCCATCGTACAAAAATATTAAATATCGCGTTACGCTAACTCCTTGAGCAAATAGTCGTTAGATTGCAAATTGTACGCCGTTCGTATGCGAATGTGAAAAAGTAAAATATTAATGTTGTTATATATTATTATGTATTCGTGTTACGGTTTGCGTATGCTATTTTTCTCATTAGCGCATACGAGTAAAATTTGCATTCTAATTATCGTATTACTCCTTATAATTCGTGCTCGTACGTAAATTGTCGGTTAGGTTTATAAATATACGATTATATTAGGGAACGCCTAATTAATTGACGTATAAATAGGCATATAAATATCGATACTATATACTGGGCGGTCCACGAAACATGTGCACATCTGTAACTTCCAAAATATGTTTCGAGGCGTACACTATGTAGTATTATTCTATTAAATTAATAGCTAATCAGTAATTTCACTTTATTTCTTAAAAATTACTTGTTTCACGCTTTGAAGATTACACAAATTTTCAGGAAATGAAGTGAAATTACTTTTTTACTCAGCATTCTTCTACATTTTGGTATAAAAAATATAGTATTCCATTTAAAAAAAATAAATGCACTACACAGTGTACAACTTGAAACCAAGCAAGCTTAGTATGCAACATTTTTTCATGCATATTTTGGAAATTATAAAGGCGTACATATCGCGTGGATCACTCTGTATAAAATAGCTCCTTAAAAAACTAATTACCACATCTGCCCGATGGTCGAGCACTCGAATTGGCCAACGGGGCGAATCGTGTAGCGACGGAGAACGGGGGGGGAAAAATTCAAACTTCGATGACTATAAATTTCATGGTCGGTTGCTTTGGTTTCTGTAGGTTTCACGACATAAATTCAAAACCGTTTCAACGAATCCCTCCGGTAAATATTTCTGCGACGAAACGTATCGATTCTATGGCAGATTCGTTCGGTTGGAATTATCGAAATCGCCACTAAAAAATCGCTAGATAGAACATCGATTACCATAATCGACTTTCGAAACAATCGTCCCGATTGCAAATCGACGTAGTTTCTCTATCGTAAATAAGTTTCAACGTACGAACTACGATATTGTGGGGTCCATCGCCGCCAGAGGGCCACGCTCTTATCCCTCTCGCAAGCGCTCGACTATCCAATGTCATGGCGCCTGAGACAGCGCCTTCTAGGATCGCCTTATTCGTTAATAAGTCCTCTCCCTTTCCATCTCGCTCACAGACCCCACAATATCTACAAACTCGATTCCTCGAGCGTTCTTTTACACTCGAACCACTCTTTCGCGGAGCAACGATTCGAAATGTGCGATCGAACCATCAATTTCTAGGATCCCGACGAAGTGTTCAATAGTAGGAATTGTCTTGCTGGTAGTCCGGGTAGCGGAAAGGCTGATGCTTCGTGGACGTTCCGTCGGGTTTCAGGAGGAAGAAGTTGGTCGGTTTCCCGTTGAAACTGTACGGTCCCTTGTCCAGCTTGTGGGCCAGATCGTCGGGTCGTTTGATCGGCTTCAGATTGCTCTGCCACTGATAGATCGACGTCGGTTTGCCGTTGCTCACGAACTCCGCCGACAGACTGTCCAGATTGGTGATGGGGCTGTCGGTGGGCTTCTTGCTCGGTTTCTTCTGCCATTGATAGACCGACGTCGGTTTACCGTTGCTCACGAAATCAATGGGCAACTTGATGAAAGGATTAACGGGTTGCTGATAGACTGGCTTGGGCCTGGTGAACGGTATCTGTTGATGGATCTTCGAGGTGGCGTAGGCGGAGGGTCGCGAGACGTAGTCCAGCCCCGGTACGAACATGTACTGCGTGGGTGGCAACCGAATGTAGATGATGTTGCTCTCCTGGTACCTGCTCCTGTCGTCGGACGTCCTCTCGTCGGTGTCGAAACCGTTGTAGTCGACGTCGTACGGCACGTTCGGGTACGTCAGCTGAGGCACGATCGGATAGTTGACGAAGATGGCTTTGTGCTTTCGACTCTTCTTCGCCGATTTGTCCCTGCCCTCGTCCTCCTTGCTCTCCGGTCGATTATCCTGACTCGGAATCGAGGTCACCGGCGGGATCGCGGCTCTGCGATCTTTCGTTCCGCCGTCGTCCTTCTCGTATTGCCTTTTTGCCGGGCGATTCGTCGCGTCCTTCGCGGTGACATCGTCGGTTTCCGTGGAAACCGCGATCGCGTCCCTGTTCCGCGGGAACAATCGAGCGCTCGGGGTGTCTTGTAGAGGCATCGCCGTCGCGGTCGCCACCACGGAAATCAGCAACGCCAGCGACGTCCTCATGGCTTCTAAAAAATAAAAATAAAATCTCATTTATGTTTTTGTCTGCAAAACGGGATTGAAAAAGAGTGGCAGACCATCGAAAGGGACTGAAAAATATATTTCATACAGGGATCTAAGTTATTTGCAACATAGAGTTGTATACGTTAAATGAAATTATGAAAGAAAAGTAATTATAAGTGAACTGAATATATAAATTAAACGTAACTTTAGCGGTCTATGGGTGTTCCTTTATTATTACTCATATGTTCTAGACCTCGTTTATATCTTCGAGAGATTACACAAATTTTAAACGATTTAACGCTCACAAATTGTAATAAATAAACTGAAAAGTAATTTGTATTATAATTCTACGGTGAATCTGATGTTAATAAGATGAACGTGTCGTTATTTAGGGGAGTGTATCGGAAACGGGCCGAAACAAATTGCGGGCTCGTCGGGCTCTGGACAACCTCCTTAAAGATAACTCGTTTTCTCGGGAACCCTCGATGCCACTATCAAACCCTCCCCGCCTCATCCCGCGTCACCAGCGGTGGCCATTCTCCGTCCGGCGACGTCGAATAAATCACGGCCCCGGTGTGGCAGCATAAACAAAAAGGAGAAAATGAGGATCACGCGTGAGACGGGTGGGTGGTTCGTGAAGGGGAGGCAGGGATGGGGGCTGGGGACAAACTACGGGCCGGCATTTACCTAGACGGTTCGCGTACATTCCGCGCGTCAAGTTTTCTTCTCTGTTCGCGCAACCGCAGCGCACCAGGAATGGTAATTGAAACCGGGTTATAAAATCGTCCAGTCATGCAGTCGTGCATTCCTACCCGCGAACTTCTGCGCGGGGACCTTGCAGAAGGTCGCGCGTAGGATGAAAAGGAAAATGAGTCGCGAGCTAGTTAGACCTTTAGGGGGGAAAATCCTGTTGCGGATAGCGAGGGGCTGCTCGAATCTCAGCTTTCGAACGGTTCGTCCTTGCATCTTTTCAAAGTTTTTTTAGCAATCATTTGCGTATCAAGCCACTTGCAATTGAATTTACTAGATTTATTTATACGTGAAGGATTCTTGATGAGTTTGGTTATAGATGGTACTGGAACAGAAAATAAAACAGTCGATAATTAAACAAATTGGTTGAGGTTTGCATCTCGAAACAGTAAAATCGTCCAATCCGTTCAGAAGTTACGATTTTTTTAATTTCAGGAGAATCAGACATTGGTCAGACATTGTACTTTCGGTAAGGAATTTTTTTTTCGAAAGTGCGTAGGAATTCGAGGGTATGTCTATTCACCAAAAATGATTGTAATAGACCCCTGCAACTGAAAATAATTATTTTAGAACGATTTGAAATTTTTTAATTTTGTCGAAAAATTTCACACTTTCTCGAATTTTTTTTTCGAAAGTGAGCAGGATTTCGGGGGTATATCTATTCACCAAAAATTATTATAATCGATCCCTGCAATCGAAAATAATTTTTTTAGAACGATTTGAAATTTTTTAATTTCGTCGAAAAATTTCACACCTTCTCGAATTTTTTTCTTGAAAGTGAGCAGGATTTCGAGGGTATGTCTATTCACAAAAAATAATTGTAATCGACCCCTGCAATGAAAAATAATTTTTTTAGGACGATTTGAAATTTTTTATTTTCGTCGAATTTCTACACCTACTCCCTGTCGATTTTTCTTAAAAATTCGTTTGACGCTCTATGGAAATGTTGTTTAGTACTTTTCTTGTAGGTATCCATGAGCTCTACTACAGAAATTCAATGAAATACATTCGCTATTGTAGAAGACCATTAGAATCAACTATGTATATACTTCTTCCTCGAATCCCTAAAGCTATACGAAGCGCCAGAACTCATATACAAGGTGGCTATGCATTAATGTGTGTAAGTAGAGGGGCAGTTTCCTTTGGGCACCGGTCTGCCGTCTGATAATACTGGATTGCCTTTTTTCAATCCCTCCCATAGTCAACTCACATGTTTTATGCACACCTACAGTTGTTTGCCCGTCAATACTGATTCAGTGAATAGTTTCTCGACTGACAGCCATATATGCGAAGAGGGCGCTAAAATCACCTCCGAATTTTCACGTCGGTATAGCAGTCAGATTGGGCTACAAAAGTCCACCTTACACGGTCTGCTCGTATATCTCGTCTGTGTTAATAGTGACGCCATTACATACTCGTCCACCATCGTTATAATTAAACACCCGATGGTTGTTACACGGTACTCCGTTATTATCGACGTGAAATTCCTTTTTACCACGGTCGGACTATTGCAAGTAAACTGACTACCTTCTCGCCCGAGGATAAAGCAGATCACGTGCAGGCACCTGCATTGTCAGCCATTGGTTTTATTTTACTACGTGCAATATTTTATTTCTATTTAGTAGTATTACAGTTTACAAAAACCGTGGAACAGGAATTTTTTGCGGACACGCATTTCATAGAACGTGTTATTGCGGTTACAGCATCGAAAACGTTAAGAGGTAGTCGAAAGTCGTAAATAACAAACGTGAATATAATTGAAAAGCACCCCATTAACGAAGCACTACGAAGAAAAACGTCTCATATCCAGCTATGCCCGCATAATTAAATAAGTTATAGAACAACCGGGAAAAAAACAGTTTTTTTTTTGAACTCGTAAAGGTGAAGTATCTTGTTAACGATTCAACATTATTGGTGTTTATAGAAAAAGTTGTCGGATCCTGATCCGTATTTTATCGTAATTAAATTTAACTCTGTTTTGCGGCGGAAACCGATGCGCTTGGAATCGGTTCGAACGAATATAATTTTAGAAGATTAAAAACTCTGGAGTAGCCCGTTTGGTATGGTTATATTCGTAGTCTTGAAAACTTTGGGCCAGTTGGTATTTTAAAGATGATCCCCAATTAAGGACAAATCCTTAAAAATCTCTCTTGACGTTCATCAACGCGAGTGACGAGTCAAAATTGAAAAAATACAACACACGTCGCGTGGTCCACGGGCCCACCGTAAGGATTTCGTGTTTCCCATGTTTGCATCCGTGTGCTCGACGTCCTCTTACGACCAAAGACTTTTGCAGTCTCTCTTTGCAGCATATCCGCTCTCGTTTTCCTGGTCGTTTTTTAACCCGTCACCGGCGTAACACGGCGCGGTGCACCGTTATTTTGCCGAAATGAAATGCCGGGTACGTGTATATGCTTGCCAGTTTCTATGGGACAGCCTTGTCAGGGACTCCACAATGGCACCGTCTCGCGACGCCAGAGACGAGACAAGAATCGCGAGTCGCGGCACGGAGGGAACATTTGCGGGATAAGGATTCTTCAATGAGGCGTTTGAAAGCTCGCCTTCGTCACGTGTCATTCTCTTCTCTTCCGTTGCGTTGTCCGCTCGAAGACGCTGTTGGGGCTCCTGGCGTTTCCTGAACCTCCATACATAGCGATGAGTTTGTGACGCTGCTTCTTGCTAGCAGAGAAAGCGAGAAAGATCGTATAAGGGTAGAAAAGGAAAGGAAATATTCGGTAGTCGATCGAGCGCTTGCGAGAGAGAAAGAGAAGAGCGTGGCCCTCTGGTGGCGCCACAACGATCGACAATTCGGTAGTAATTCAGCGAAGATTAAAGACGGATTGATTATTAATTTACCCAAGATCGAGACAATGATCTATATAGAATTAAATTTGTCAGAGAAACGATTGGACACCGAAAGGAACAATCGTATTACAGTTAGAGAATTGGACCGAATATTTGAATCGCTGAGTCCTGACTCTGGCTGTAATAATGACAGGAAGAGGCCATTGTGTGGAGTTAGAATACCTTGACTCACATGATTGGGATCTCGCGAGAACCACCTGTAGTCGTTCCGACCTTCGTGACTGCCGGTGCAATTATGAGAAAGTCTGGAAGACTCACTCGACCTTCGATGGCGTACAAATTAACGATACTTAAATCGGTGCTTCAACAACGTTAGTAACCTAATACTAAATTTGCTCCTAACGTTCTCTTATACACACACAACGATAACACGTTCTTAAAACTAACACTCACAATCAGCCATTGTTATTCAAATTATATTATCGTAAATACCGTGATTTTTGTAATAGTCAGTTCAACGAAATCCAAATTCTTTGTTAGAAATGAATCGATTCTTCACTTGTCTTTCTCGTCTTTAAGTTTTAGATATAAATTTGTCCGATTGTAAGATTTCAAAGTATCGATCATTCGAGTGGCTGATCGATTACGGGGAGCAGTATATTATTAGAGAAATGTAAAGCATTACTGTTTGTATCGAATTTAAGTACCGTAAGGAATCCCCATTCGAAAAATCACGGTGTCTAACTGTAACAAGATCGTCGATTTCGTCGATATAATAATACAGCAATCTCAAAACGCGGCGAGAGTTCGGGCCTGATCACGCGTTACGAAAATCGAATTAACCTCTTTCGAGACCTTACCGGATTCCAGAGAAGGATTTCTACGCGAGAAAAAGATACTCTAGACGTTGTGGCTTGATTGCGGGGGCGGTTATCTTCTCACATGGACTCTATTTGTGCTTTAAATTGTTTTAAAGTACGATTAACCCTCCTGTAACACGGTACGAAAAGCTCTTAACAAGCATTAGAAGGAGAATAATGTATTTATTATATTTGTCTCCTTTAAAACTTGAGTTAATCAACGTTACAAATTGTTATCGAGGATCCAATACCAGAGTTGGAACGTTTAACGATCGAAGAAACATTCTGGATCAACGATCGAGCTTCGAGAAGTTCAGTTTGCATCATTCTCGCGATCGGACACGTTTCAATTGTCGCAGAAATGATGCGGTCGTGGCTGCCTACGTTCGGCGGATTAGCGAACAGGGTCGATTTCTAATAACGTTTCGAATTAGAAAGAAATTTCAGATGAATCGAAAGAAGCTCGTAGCAAATTGCGAAAGAAAGAATTCAGCGTCTAACGAACCGATTAAACGGATTTCATGGAAATAAGCTGTCCCGCCAAAGAAACAGTATTTTAGGCTCGATCAGTTCCTAATTCGAATCGTTAT